ACTAGCTGGAGGTTATTTATCTTCCAAGCTGTTGGCTGGGCTGAGCTGTCACTCCCGATAATGTGTGTATGAGAGCGTGTGTGTGCGCATGTGTCAGCCGGAGGAATGGCACACAGATCTGCTAATATGTTGTTTATTGATCCAGTCATCTGACACTACTCATCTTGTCGGCGTGCCCACCTGCTGATGTGCAGCCATGACCGCAGTACTAAGGCAGATCAAAGACCCGAGTGCAGGCTAAAGGCATGTTCCACTATGTTTTAAATTAAGAGAAGTATTTGATTAACCAACCCCTATCAAGTTATTCTGACCCCTGTTTTAATCTTCCCGGTCATTGCATAATGAGGATTTTTATTTAATTAATCCATACAACCAAAGTGATGGAGAAATGTGTATTTTTGACATACATGAGCATTGGATTATAGAATGACCCAATACATTTATCCAGATATTAAATCTCAGGATATCAGTCGGATGAATTATGAAAGGCATCTGCAGCGGATTGTTTTAGTTTACTTTTGACGCATTAGGTGTTGTTTTTTTTGCATGTGAGTTTGCATCATGGAGCCAAGACAGCTTCATCCCATATTTCTGTCACCCTGCTCATCAATTGTAGACAATCTCCGCACTCCACCGACAAGATATTTATCACCCCACGAGCCTTTTTTCTTTTTTTAAAAACCATGTCCAATATGGTATAGGCAGTTTAATTTGCTGATTCATGCTCCAACCTATGCTGCAGATCACATCCCCATGGTACATTTATATATACAGTGCACACAGCCCTTTATTTTACCATGTTTCGTCATCGTTCTTCCTCGGTTTAAATCGTTTTCTTGAATTGATTTCCTTTATACAAGTGGAGCGGTGTGTGACCAATTCATAAGCACAAAGATTAAAGGAATCTTGAATTTGAATATGTTACTGCTGTGACACATCACACTCGTGAATGTATTGGGTTAAAGAGGAGACTGTTTGAAGTTAAAGAATACCTGCATATTTCCCACGCACACGTAAAAAAGGACACTAAACAAAATGGCCCAAATATGGTCGTTCACACTGCGAGATAGATCATTTCTCATCGCTATGGCAACTGCTGACAGTTACCAGTCACTGTTGTCATGGGAACAGCTTGACAGGCTTGTAAAGAGACAAGGAAGGCCGAGAGAAAGGATTATCTGAGAGGGGTGAGAGAAAAATGAAAACATCACAGAGGGAACTAACAAAGCAGCCCATCACATTTTTATTTAAAATATGTTTTTTGTTAAATGTAAATGTTTGATTAATTCCTTTTTGATACAAATAGTGTTTGCTATTAGATGGCCAAATAAACTAAATCTGAAAAATGTGTTGATGTGAGGAGGCTTTCCAGCTACCGTTCAGATGGATGGTGTTTCTATGGAAGGGGAAAGGATAAATGCATTTTTTAAATGCTACCAAAAGCTGCCAGTAAAAAGATTAGTATTTCCCATCTTGGCTTTCACATGCCCTCCACATCTCTCCTTCATTTTCTTCCCATATTTCCTTCCTTCCCCTTCCTCCTCAGAAAGGCTTTTAGGTGATTAAAACTAGCCAGATAGGTTTTTTATTGCTATTGTTCTCTTCTTTCTGTCTGCCATTGTGATTGCGGAGTGCCTCTCTCTGAAATATCGCCTACTAGGTTTTTCACTTTGGAGCAACACATTTCATCAAGCAGTTTATGGATGAAAACACCAACAGTTGAAGGACACTGGAGCAAAAAAAACAACTACATCCAACTTGAAAAGTGCTTTTGGCTACGTGCAGTTCTCCACCAGGTGTGTCTGCAACCACCACCGCGGTACCATTTATTCTGAGGAATTAAACCAGTAGACGTTTGCAGTCGTGTCATGTGATGATGTTCAGATGACACTGAAACAAACCACTAAATCAAACTTTAAGTGCAGTGTACAGTTACCTTTTGATATGCGCTAATGAATGCTGATGGTTATGATTGACACCTTAGTAATACATCATTTAACTAAAGGAGATAAATACTTTAAAGAAGAATTTAGCAAAGCGCTTGGCACTTTAGATAAGGTTGTCGAAATACAGAAACAAGAAATATAAACTCCAATAAAGTAGATAACACGACATAATAAACATTCACAATCAAAGAACCAGGTTTGCTAATAAGAAATAATAGTATTAGTTTAACAATAAAAGGATTACATATTAATAAACCCTACAATATGTAGGATTCAAAGCGTATCTAAACGCTGCAGGCACCTGCTGCAGATAGCTGTATGGATAACAATACAAATATAGCACTTTTTCTGACCATGTGTAATAATGTGTAATACATGTGTAATATCTATAATATCATATCTAAAACATGAAGTTACTCTGCCATAAGGCCAGTGTTCAACTTATGTTTTGAGTAAATGGTCACATGCTCACATCATAAATACATATCCTGCTTCAATTGAAATGCCACAGTCATGAACTACGATCTGTTATAAACCACCTAATCCGACCCTTATTACACTTACAGCCTTGACACCAGCATCAATAATATGTCAATGTTAAGTGAAGAATATTTCACGAAGCTAATTTAAACTCACTGTTTTGCCGCTGCACTTTCTTTAAAGACCATTCATAAAAATACAAAAAGCCGTTGGGTGCGACCTTTCAAAAAAGACTGCACTAGAAAAAGGAGCAGGCTGCAGTGGAGAGATGTTGGATGTATTATAGCTCAGATAGAAGACAAATGGCTGATGCTTTTTTGATTATTATTGGCTTGTGGCTGCTGAGGTCAGAGGCTCATAAAAGCGCTTTTTTACGACTTGAATACAAATAGGCTTCTGTATGGATAATCCAATATAGACCCTCTCTCTCATACACACACATGCACATACCCTCAATCTCACAGGGTTGACAGATTGAAGAGGCGGAGCTTATACCCAGTCCGACCCTGGCAACAACATCATGGTGATGCAACGGTACATACTGATGAGTCACTGCTGGGATTTTGAGTGGTTTTATGATTGTAAAGGGACCTGATGGCTGTTTTAAATATTGGTGTTTTTTTTGTCTGTTTATTTATATTCAACATTTGCAGTCACAAGTACACAGACACACAGACAACACTGCATTAAAGATGAGGATGATGACTAACCACGTCCCATGTCCTGCTTCTTCCAAATGCTGCTGTCACATCCTGTAAATACGAGTACACCATCTGTCCGCCCAGCTCTGCCTCACTGCTGCTGCTTCTCCGCTGAACTCTCACAACACTAAAGATGATCTGTTTTTCAAGATCTCTTCTGACATCAAAGCAGGAGATGGGATCTACATCTTTCTTTTTGTCAGATAAAAAGAAAAAAAACAAGTTGTAATAGCCCTAATTGTTATTTTCCGACCAAAGTTAAACGTGTTCCTCCTTTTGATAAGAGTTCCAGTATCTCTGAAATCTTTTGAGACCATTCTGCATCATTTACAAAATAGCTAGCCGGCAGTGAAAACCTAATAATTTCCTTCATTTTGTTAAGAAAAAAGTTAAGTTCCACTTTGAAAACCAGTACTTTGTAAACATATATACTTTATTTTTTTTTATGTTGCTAAGGTTTTGCATCATGGCTGATGAAATGATGTTGTAGTGTGACTTTTAAAAGAGAAATCTCTGTGTGTATGACCTACGACTGACCTCGTTATGAGATTTAAAACTGAAAGATATCTAGGGGCGGTGTTTGAATCCCAGATCTGATTACGGTACTGTAGCATTTAAGAATGCTCATTGTGTGATTTCTGGGCCATTTTTGTTTTGTTGATTATGCATATTGTGTTTTTGGCGACCTAAATACATGCTTATTATTTGTATTCTTAAATATTCCTTTATGCTCATTCAAACATTTTGGTTTTGATTTTGCTTGTTGAAAAGAGATGGGACAAATGTTTTGTAAAAGGATTTGGACTAATCCAACCAAGTTTCCAGAATATTGGCAAAAGAAAATGCAAACTAATGTGCTTTTCCATCCGCTGCCATTATGAGAACACTAGTTGTTGGTTTATCTAAATCCATACAAAAATCAGTCAATACAGTTAGTGGAGTCTCCGGTCCGGTGCCATTGAACCATTGCCCAAGAATAGAAACAAAGAGAGTTGCATTATTAAAATCTTCCGATCAAAACTCAAACAGATCAATACAACATGAAAAAAGTGATGGCATTGGTTTACATTTTATAATTTTACCAACTTTTCTACCTCAGTCAATCATGACATTTGTTACGATATTTTCCGATTGCAATATTTCCACCAAGTTTGGAGGGAATCTTACTGTCCTGGTTTTCTTGAACCATTGGGAGAACAATTTCTGAATTTCTGGGCAATGGCATTTGCGAACTGGACACTTGTAGTTAGCTCGGTGCTATCTAGGAACTCTTTGATCTGCGTGCTGTACTGCATGTAGAATATATTCCCTGGTCTATTCAAAGTGTGATATCTGCTGTAGTGCCTCTTGTTGCGTTGTAAAAAGCTTTCAAACCATGTCATAGAGCTAGATTTCCCATCAGTTATTCTTGTACCGAGTTCAGTTTGACTAAATAATGGGAACATTCTCGCTGGCGTAACATTTCTACTCCAGTGTGGGTGTCACTCGTGCTTTGAAGAAGAATGGCCTTTGCTGAGAGAGGAAGCTCAGCATGGAGCCATCTCATCTCAGTCCCATCTGAGAGCATTCAGAAATGCAGCTTTCATCATTTTCATGGGGGAAATATAGTCGTGCTTTATAACTCTTGATTGATTCAGTGGTGGAACAGCCCATTTCTTTGTGAAAAGTCTTGTCGTACAACTGGTTGATCATAGGGAAACAGAATGTGTACATCCTTTATTGCAAACTCTATGTTATGAAATCATTATATGCTGTCATATTGGACATTTACTAAATATATCCTTCTTTTTCCCTCCCACTGTGTCTGTTTCTTCCTCTTTTCCTCTCTCCTTGCCCTTTGTGTCCCTCCCTTTCTCCTTCTTTACCTCTCCAGTCCACTCCACTCCACCTGGCAGCAGGATACAACAGGGTGAGGATAGTTCAGCTGTTACTACAGCACGGAGCAGATGTTCACGCCAAGGACAAGGGGTACGTATAAAACACATTTTAAAGTGCAATAAAAAGAGTTTTAAGGTAGACATTTATTTTGACCTTTTGAAACACTGCATAATCCTTCAGTGGTAGAAAAGTAGGCTGGTCAATTTGTGAGACATCATCGAGAATCCTCTCTATGTTATTGGACAACAAACCACACGCAGGGCTTTCATTGTGTCTCTTATCATTTTCATATGGAAGTGAATTTCTTAATTTGTCATTAAATATTGAGTTATCTATCATTAATTTGTGATAAAACTAGGATGTGCACTTACTAAAACATGCTTAAGTTTGAAATGGCAAGTGTAGTTGCTAGACTGATTCTAGCATCAATTGATGTTATTTTAAAATAGACATTTAAAATAGACAAACACCCTACATTCTTAAAGTAAGTCTCAACCAGAATTACATCCTACAAAACTAATTTGGGGACACTGCTTAATTTTTTAGCAATGCTAGCAAAGAGGCTCTCTGTAGGAGCAATTTATAGTGCTAATAAGCAGATGTTGTTAGCATGCTAACACGCTAAGCTAAGATGCTATCCTAACTGAACATCAGTATTTTAGCATTCTCATTTTCACCATATTAGCATGTTGTTGTAGTATTCAGTTTTAAACGCACCATATAGCTTCTCAGATGTGTTAAAAAGGCTGTAGATTAGGGCTGCTCGATTATGGCAAAAATCATAATCTCGATTATTTGGGTCAGTAATTGTAATTGCGATTATTAAATGCGATTATTCATTGACTTTGAAAACATCCATTTATTGGAGAAATGTTTTTTAACAGTATGTTTTTAACAGTTTACCCTGAACTTTAAGTATAATTCAACTGAAAAACCACGTAACATTATAATAAAAAAGATAATCGTTTTATTTCGATTACGTTGTTTTCGTAATCGTTGCAAGCCATAATCGTAATCGCGATTTAAAATACGATTAATTGAGCAGCCCTACTGTAGATGCTTATTCTCTTTTTATTAGGCTGAAGAAAGATACAATGGAATAAAGGGTTACATATGAGGGTGTTTATATATATATATATATATTATTTTTTATGTATAAAATTAGTGTTAATAATGTTTATCTTTTGCCCCTCCAGGGGTCTGGTGCCTCTGCATAACGCCTGCTCCTATGGACACTATGAAGTTACTGAACTGCTGCTAAAGGTACACTCACACAATCTATCTCAGAGACTGCTTAAACATTCGCACTTACTCTTTATAATAAAATATAATTACATTACATTACATTTAGCTGACGCTTTTGTCCAAAGCGACTTACAATAAGTACATTCGACCAGGAAGACACAACCTTGAAGAAAACAGAATCATATAAGTATATCAGGTTTCATAGAGCCAAACATTTCAAGTGCTACTCAACTGGCTTTAGGTAAGCCAGTCCTTTATTAGTATATAAGTGCTTCGTTAATCGTTCTAACGCTCGAAGTGGAGTCGAAAGAGATGAGTTTTCAGTTTGCGCCGGAAGATGTGCAAGCTATCTGCCGTCCTGATGTCAATGGGGAGCTCATTCCACCATCTTGGAGCCAGGATAGCAAACCCACGTGTTTTCGCCGATGGGAACTTGGGTCCCCCTCGCAGCGAGGGCGCAACGAGTCGTTTGGCTGATGCAGAGCGTAGTGCACGCGCTGGGGTGTACGGTTTAACCATGTCCTGGATGTAGGAAGGGCCAGATCCATTCGCAGCACGGTAAGCAAGTACCAGTGTCTTGAAGTGGATTCTAGCAGTTACCGGAAGCCAGTGAAGGGAGCGGAGGAGCGGAGTGGTGTGGGAGAATTTAGGAAGGTTGAAAACCAGACGAGCCGCTGCATTCTGGATGAGCTGCAGAGGTCGGATGGCATATGCAGGTAGACCAGCCAGGAGGGAGTTGCAGTAGTCTAGGCGTGAGATGACGAGAGCCTGGACCAGAACCTGAGTCGCTTTCTGAGTCAGCTGGGGACGTATCTTCCTGATGTTGTAAAGCGTGTATCTGCAGCAGCGGGTTGTAGCAGCGATGTTTGCAGTGAAGGACAGGTTGTTATCTAGGGTCACACCCAGATTCCTTGCAGTCTGAGTCGGGGAAACAACTGAGGTGCCGATGTTGATTGTCAGGTCAAGAGTTGGACAATCTTTTCCCGGGAGGAAGAGCAGCTCAGTCTTGTCAAGGTTGAGTTTGAGATGGTGAGCAGACATCCACTGAGAGATGTCAGCTAGACAAGCAGAGATGCGTGCGACGACCTGGGTCTCTGAGCGGGGAAAGGACAGAATTAATTGGGTGTCGTCAGCGTAGCAGTGGTAAGAAAAACCATGCGGGCTAATGACTGATCCGAGCGAGTTTGTGTACAAGGAGAAGAGGAGGGGACCAAGAACAGAGCCCTGAGGGACCCCCGTAGTTAATTGACAAGGGTCGGACTCAGACCCTCTCCAAGTCACCCTGTAGGTACGGTCTTTCAGGTATGAGGTGAGGAGGGAAAGTGCAGAGCCAGAAACTCCAAGTTTTGGAGAGTGCGAAGGAGGATCTGATGATTCACCGTGTCGAATGCAGCAGACAGGTCCAACAGGATGATGACAGAGGAGAGGGATGCAGTTTTGGCAGTGTGCAGTTCCTCCGTGACAGCAATGAGAGCAGTTTCTGTGGAGTGACCTGCCTTGAAACCAGACTGGTGCGGATCCAGAAGGTTGTTCTGATTGAGATAACAGGAGAGTTGTTTAAAGACAGCGCGTTCAAGTGATTTAGACAGGAACGGGAGGAGAGAGACAGGCCTGTAGTTTATAACATCAGACGGGTTGAGAGTGGGTTTCTTTAGGAGAGGGTTTACTCTTGCCTCCTTGAGACTGTTTGGAAAGTGACCAGAAGTTAGAGAAGTGTTGATGAAATGGGTGAGAAACGGTAGAATATCAGGAGCGATAGTCTGAAGGAGGTTTGAAGGGATAGGGTCCAGAGGACAGGTGGTAGGGCGGGCAGAGGTAATGAGGGTAAGAACCTCACTTGGAGAGAGAGGGGAAAAGGAGGTTAGTGTGTTGGTGGAAGGAAGGTCTGGTGACCCAGCGGTGAGTAAAGGTGAGTCAGAAAAAGAAGAGCGAATATCATTAACCTTTTTTTCAAAGTGGGTAACAAAGTTGCTTGACAGAAGTGAGGAGGGGGGAGGAGCTTTTGGAGGGTCCAAGAGGGTGGAGAAGATGGAAAATAGTTTTTTAGGATTGGAATAGGAAGATTGGATCTTATCTTGAAAGAAAGTGCTTTTTGCCTGAGAGTTCGAAGCAGAGAAAGAGGAGAGGAGAGCTTGATAGGTTAGGAGGTCGTCACGGTGTTTGGATTTCCACCATTTCCGCTCTGCTGCCCTAAGGACGGTTCTATTAGCACGCAGTGCATCATTTAGCCAGGGAGCCGGAGGGGACTGACGAGCCTGCCGAGATGTCAGAGGACAGAGCGAGTCCAGAGTGGATGAGAGAGTAGAGAGGAGAGTTTCTGCAGCAGAGTTTGGAGGCAGTAGTTGGAACGAATCAGAGGAAGGGAGAGCTGAGAGCACCGACGAGGCAAAGGTAGAGGGAGAGAGGGAGCGAAGGTTACGGCGGACAAGTGTAGGATGGGAAGAGATTAGTTTGTTATGTTTGGAAAGGGATAGAGAGAATGAAATGAAGAAGTGATCGGATGTGTGGAGCGGGTTTACAGAGAGGTTAGAAGTAGCGCAGTTCCTTGAGAATATGAGATCAAGGACATTGCCAGCTTTATGAGTCGGTGGGGACGGAGAGAGTGAGAAAGCAAAGGCGGTTAACAGAGATGTTAGTTCGTCTATCTTCCCCATCTGGAGGTTGAAGTCTCCGAGAAGTACAGCGGGAGGGCCAGTTTCAGGGATGTGTGAGAGGAGATGATCTAATTCCTCCAAGAAGTCCCCCAAGGCGCCTGGTGGACGGTAGAGAACAACAATGGTTAACTGTATAGGATGGGTTACTGTGACGGCATGGAACTCAAAGGTGGAAGGAGTAAAGTTAGGTAGCTTGAAGAGGGAAAAGCTCCATTTGGGAGAGAGCAGGAGACCAGTGCCACCTCCTCTGCCAGTGGGTCTGGGTGTATGGGAGAAGGAATATGCAGTGGAGAGAGCTGCTGGGGTGGATGTGTTGGATGGAGTAATCCAGGTCTCAGTGAGAGCAAGGAAATCCAGAGACTGCAGGGAGGTGTAGCCAGAGATGAAGTCAGCCTTAGGAACAGCTGACTGGCAGTTCCACAGGCCACCTGAAACTAGATGATGGATCTCAGTGGAGCACGTGGGATAGACGAGAGCAGGCCGGTTATATCGATTAGGAGATACACGGGGCCAGTGATAATTGCGAGAAGACACATGAACAGGAATGGAGAAAATACACATGATTATAGCATGAGGGGCTAAACAACAAAAGTAAAAATTAAAACGCCAACGATACTTAGCTCAATCAAAGTAGGATTTGCCTCCTCTTTGCCTCCCTCGTGACTCCCGTAGGACTCTAATGTCTTTGTCAGTCTTACTCCCGTAGGACTCTAATGTCTTTGTCAGTCTTAGCCTGTCTGCCGCTGAAGCTGCCGCTCAAGGAAAGAGCTACCCGAAATGGACGCCTGATTGCTCAGTTCTCACAGCTGAAGTTAATTAGTTAACTATCTACAGCTGATGGGCGTTTATAAAGTAAACAAATATTGTTTCTTGTACGAAATGGAAATTGAATCCCAAGGAAAGAACTTCCACTTTTTTGTCATTGTATTTAACATAAGTACAAATATGTACTAGCTATACAGTTTTCCACAGTGTTTGTAAGGATTGAAAATGGTTGTTAACAATAAGCTTTGCTCTTTGTCCTCCATGTTGCTTCCCTCTCATTTACTCATACACTTTTCCTTATTTTTCAGCACGGTGCGTGTGTGAACGCCATGGATCTTTGGCAGTTTACCCCTCTCCATGAAGCGGCGTCTAAAAACCGAGTGGAGGTGTGCTCTCTGCTGCTGAGCCACGGGGCCGACCCGACCCTGCTCAACTGCCACAGCAAGAGCTCCGTGGACATGGCGCCCACTCCCGAGCTGAAGGAAAGACTTACATGTGAGTGTGTTAGGCTTCATTTACATAAACTGCAGCTGCGGCGTACAGGCAGTTAAAAGTGTCACTGTGCTGAATTAATGAATAGGTTGTTTTTAAGAGAGGCTGTTTTTACACCAGACATGTTTGGAGCAATGTGTTCGAGCATTCAGCCGGATGAAAATGTGAATATTCTGGTAACAGGACTGTTGAGCTGAAAACAAGGAATTATGGGTTGAAAGGGAGAGAGATGATAACATCTGACATGAACAGTTTCACATGCTTGGAACGCTGAGCAGGACAACATAGAGTCTTGACTGGTTTACATGCTGTGTACTAGATGAAAAAACACAGAAGAAGAGTGTAGAAAAAAACATCATGGTTGCAGTCGAATAGTCCAAAAATCAGCTCCTAACGTCTAACCCTATCGTCTATCCCTTGACCTCTGAGTGAAACGTCACGGGGTTAAGGGATAGTGGATAGGAGAATTCAAAAGGACTTAGGAGAAGAGACTGCGGTATGAGGGACTACTGTAAACTCATTTAGATACTCGGCACCGTGCTCTGATGCTGTTGCTTTATGCTTTATGAACGTGGACAACAGAGAAACATATTCTTCATGACCAAAGTTGGAATTTAAATAAAAAAGGAAAGTGAAACTTATGCTCGTCACCCTCTCCCTCCGGTCCACATTAATACAAATGATCCCAATACGCATGATTGTATGAAAATATCTTAAAATAAATACAAATGTATTTATTATAAACGTTAGTCCTTAACATCTATCACTGTGTATATCACCATTCAAACATATTTTAAAAGTTGAACAAACCCCACACAGCTCAGTAAAGACTGTGAAATGTTGACTTTATTTGATAATTTCAGTAAAAACTAACGTTCATATTTCTCTTTTTGATTATAATACTGATGAACGTTCAAAACAAAGCACTTTGGCAATTTACCACATACGTTTTAAAAAGCTTAAGCACCGTAACTTTCATGATATCATTTCTCGGTCATAATCGGTTGTTTCCGTGAACGGCCGACTGTTGAGTGACGGCAAATGCTGCGGCTGCAATGCATTGTGGGGCAGCATTTTCTCCTCTCCTTTCGTCAAGGGAGGTCCAGTGGTTCCTAAGCTAAAGGAGGTTATAAAGGAAGTTTGAAACCTCCTTTCCTTTCATCTAGAGAATTGGAATGGCACTTATCATGGCTGCCACTGAGGGACTTCCGGGTCATTTCACTCCGTTAGGAAGGTTCCTAAGCTAAATGGACTATTCGACTTCAACCCATGTTTTACATCTGTTTGTAATCTTTGAAAACAAACAATGTGACAATGAATCTATGTTGTTCAGTCCCTGCTTACTTTGAAATTGGACTTTGAACTAGGGAGAGTATTTATTTCAAAAATATTGTACTCACCAATACGTTGTATAGCTATGCTAGTGCTGTGTACTGGATGAAAAACCACAGAAGAAGAGTTTTGACAAAAACTTATTTGTTTTTAGACACTTTTAGCTTCAAAAATCTGTTATTTTTGAATTTGGATAGAGTCCTGCATACCTTGTAACTGGACTTTGAACTAGGGAGAGTATTTATTTCAACAATATTGTACTCACCCAAATTTAAAACAATTTTGTTTAGTCTTTTTTACCGTCATTGGCTGCATACTCCCTGGAGCCGCAATAAATCATTTTCCAATTTGGGATAAAAAAGTAGCTATCTAGAAAGTCTATCTAAGTAACAAAACAATAAACATCTCCTGCTATCAGCTAGGCTAACAACATGCTCCCATAGTCTGTTACAGGCTACACACTAACCTTTGTCGTGGTTTCAAAACTCTCATTACAAACTGAGAAAAGGTCTCATTTTGAATTGGATCGCTGGGTTTTATTTGGTGCATGGTTCACTTCCACAGTTTAACCTGTCAGAGATCTATTTTACAGCAAAACGTACGCAAGCTATACTGTATATCTACAGCAACATCCCCATGCCTCTGTTTTCTAATGGAGCATTTTTCAAAATGTATGATATTTAATTAAACGGAAATTGAGCAATAATTAAATTAATTTGCTTTGCTCCTGCAGAGTCACAGCAGACAAGATAAGTCTTTGTCTCTGCCAGAACGCTCTCTGCAACTCTTTGGAAGTTAATTAGGGATTCAGCTCTCCCGCTGCTGCACTTGTGGCGCTTTCTTTGTAATGAAACTGATCAAAGATAAATGAATCACAATTTGTCTCGAGTTTATGTACAACTGCAGGACAACTGCACCTGTTGGCTGTAAGAGGATGTGATTATGGAAACAGTTGGACATTTGCTGCAAAAACAAAACACCAAATCTAGAAATGAAGACATTTGAGATTGAATCCAACCTTTCTATTTCGTATTTCTTCAAAATGTAATGTTTTTTCCATATTTGGGCATGGGCACCGGGAGTCTTTCACAAGCTTTAGGTGTACCTAAAGCTTGTGAAAGACTCCCGGTTTTATACCAAAGGTCTTTCCCTGTAACAACTTGTATCTGCTGAGTAGGGTTTGTGAAATAATATTTTGGGTGTGTTTTATTGAACCTTTGATAACCTGACATTAAGTCTCCTGTTGTCTGGAATACAAAATGGCGTACAAGTTAGAAAATCAATATATAACAAATGTCATTGATAAGTTAGCGCAGATGATTGAGACACACGTGAAAGTTGATCAGGGTAACTGGCTTTGAAAAAGGAAGTAGCCAGTTGTACTATTTTAGAGGAAAAGTGTAACATTTAAGGACATTTCTGTTGGGTTTGTCCACCTTTGAGGCTCTCAAACGTTTGGGTCGTGTTTCCCTTGTTTCCAGTTTGTATGGCTTAGCCAACCCTTTTGTTTCTCTCAGCATGACAGAGTATAAGCACATTGACCAAATTGTTACAGTTTTAAAGGTTGGAGATTTAATAGGCTAATGAAATGAGATTATCAAGACAATACAAATATAGACATCATATACGTTTGATCAGCAGCTGCTTTTTGACTTATCTGTGAATGAATGCAACACCAGCGAGTAAAAACATGAGATGATATCGTATATTTCATATGTTGAGCATTTTAAACTAAAAGCCGTCTTTCACACTGACGTGAAAGAAGCTACAAAGGAGGAAAGAAATCAGTTGAATACCTTGTCTAATTGAAAATGCTTTGCAGTTTGTAGAGCACACACAAATGTCCTAAAATCCTTTTCTGACTTTAAAGTGAAGACTTTATTTTCTTTCAGGCATTTAAAAAATCTTCAAATGAATCGGAGAAGAAAATATTTCTTTGGCTGAACTCGCACCTTGTGAATAAAAGCCTCAAACTGACATTTCTTTATTTTGTTATTATTATTTTTTAGTAGACAAACAAAGAATGAAAAATGACTGGGTTTCTTTTGAAAGAGTAAACAACAGCGCCTGCGTCGGTCCATTTATTCATCAACTTGTGTTCTTTATGCTGCTGGGATCCTCTCCTGTCTCTCTTGTCCACGTTCCCTTGAAGATGTGACTTCCAACTATTCCGTTTAAACGTTTGATTATAATGAATGCCGTCGCTCAATAGCTAGATAGATTTGAACTCACTTATTTTCATGCAGCCTGAAATGCTTCTGAAGCAAAATAGTTTGTTTTGTTATTGTGTAGCCCTCGGGAGAATAATCACTTGTTTTCACTCCAACTCCAGAACACAGAATGTTGCATCTTAAGTTATTAGTTTGCTGGTGAAAACTTTAAAGTAGCCTTTTTGAAGTATTAAAATGCAGTCATTGCAAGTGAAAGAATGAAGGAGGAGAACATTCCAAATCTGGTTTTGGTCAAGCTTTCAAAGCACCAGATGCTTCTCTGTGGGTTTGGATGCTTTTGACTGGAAAACTGTCAACAAATAAACTCAGAATTCGACTGAAACCGAGGCTGCTTTTCTTCCTTTTCTAACATGTTGACATTGTCTGTGTGTTCAGATGAGTTTAAGGGCCACTCGCTGCTCCAAGCTGCTCGCGAAGCTGACATGGCGAAGGCTAAGAAGACCCTGGCTCTGGAGATCATTAACTTCAAACACCCGCACACACACGAGACAGCACTGGTGAGATCAACACACACACACGCTTTTTTGCACACACACATTTCTTCACTGCTGCAGAGATGCTCAGATGATGTGTGTGTCTATGTTTCAGCATTGCGCGGTAGCATCTCCACACCCAAAGAGGAAACAGGTGACAGAGCTGCTGCTGAGGAAAGGCGCCAACATAAATGAGAAGAATAAAGAGTGAGTGCTGTTTTCTTTTTAAATAATTAAACATATAGTCAATTACAGGAAGTAGGTGGTATGTTATGCTTTACAAACTAAGACTAGATGAGCATGTTTATGTACAGATTGAGTACATGTAATACTGCATTCATAAAGAAATGTTGACCAAAATCTTTTTTCTGTGTAGTTTCATGACTCCTCTCCATGTGGCGGCAGAACGAGCTCATAATGACATCATGGAGGTGCTACAGAAACATGGTGCTAAGGTACATCACTTTATCTCCTTTCTTCACGTTTGTCATATTTCATCATACATCGACTTCCACCATAATCCTTGTCATAACTAGACAGACACTATTTTTACATAAATTGGCTAATCCACAAATGGATTGATGTTCCAAATGTTTCCTATGTGTGTGTTTTGATGATTGGGCGTATCTCTTTCTCGTTCCCATGTACAGTGCTTGTAGAAAGTATGCCAATATGATTAGTTTTTTCTCTTACTAGAAATAATTGCAGTAATCGGCGTTAAACATCGGGTTTTGTGCGTCAAACCCTCACATACAAAGAGCAGTGTTTACTTCCAGAGCCTCCCTTATGATTGGATATGCAACACTCATACAGGATAGAATTCAGCTTAGCTGGAACACACCGTTTCTTTCAGTGGTGGTGACTCATCTTATTTTCATTACTGGAACAAATGCGTTTTCTTGCGCTTACTGTGAGATTGCTATCGATACTGATGCATACGTGTACACAATGTGCCCTCACTGCATCTAGATTTTAATAAGAACACAGGGTCAAACTCGTCGTCTCAGGTCTTCTCTTGTTTTTCTTATCTAATACGTAAACATCTCTCACTTTATTCCTAGTACATCAAAGTATTACTTTATAATCTTTCCTGGATTGTAAATCAATTATCTTTTATATGATGTTTCATCAACATGATGAGTTAAACTTATAAATCATGGTTTTCATTTGATCATTTGAGATTTTTGTATTCATTGACATTTTACCATTATCCAATATATGAATAACTTTCAAACTAAATACTGTATGTAATAAAGAATATGAATACAAATACATTTGAACTTTCCCAATTTAGAAAAAGAACGTCATAAATTCTGACATGCTCAGTTCAACCATAAAATAAATAAAGCAATTCTACAACGGTTATACAAAGTTACACCTAAACATAATTATTAAACTTCTACAGTATCTAATAATGAACATCTTTCAGGATGATATTTGACTGGTTGTATGAATGTCACATTTTGTTCTTGTTTACGCATACTTAACATCACCAAATCAGGTCTTTATTTATTTATGTTAAATCTGTTCAAATATCTAATGTTGTTGATGGAAAACTCGGCTTAAATGCATAAAAATAATAGGATAAGAACGTTTTTGCAAGCTGCCAGAAATTCATATATATCTAAAACATATTATTACAACTGGAAAAAAGTAGACCCTGCAGCACACTGTAGATGAGGGTTAACGGGTTCACCAGAACATTTAATTACATGTCATTGAGAATGTTGAAGTATCCAAAGGTGTTTCTCTTTAAAGAGGTGGCGCAGTTAAGTTCTTTGAAGAATCCTAACACAGGGTTGTGTGTCTGCAGGTGAACGCCGTGGACACCCTGGGTCAGACGGCGCTGCACCGCGCGGCGATGGCGGGCCACCTTCAGACCTGCAGGCTGTTGCTAGGATACGGGGCAGACGCCTCATTGCTGTCGCTGCAGGGCTTCACTGCTGCTCAGATGGGAAATGAAGCTGTGCAGCAAATACTCAACGGTACGCCAACACCCTTTGTGTGTGTGTGTGTGTGTGTGTGTGTGTGTGGCTGGGTGTGGTTGCTGTGTTGTTTGGTTGCTATGCAGCTGTTAGTACTGGGATTAACTAGAATTGTTTTGAAAGGTCAGTATTTATACCTGGAGACTGAAGGTGCAGTTTGATGAGGGGAAAGGCTGAGTGAGCAATCTCACCTGTGCAGTGCTAGAGGAAATCACACTTTACATTACTGCAGTAATTCCAAATGTAATGTGTGTTTAAATATTCCTTATCAAATACTTTAAGACTTTGATGAGAAACAAGAATTAGGCGTTTCGCAATAAAGCAATACTGACGACATCCTTCATATTCAAATAAAAAATAGATATGTTGTGAATAATGCACAAGTGAAAATATGATGTTGTATTATTTATCTTAAGTTGAGTAGATTTGGAATAACCTCTAGCCTATCTGCCTGCCCTGATTTATTGACCGACTGCATCATCCTTATTTTGTCTTAACCACATCAATTAAATAATCAATTGGAAAATTAACTTCCAAACAAACGGCCGTCAGTCAGTTGTCATTCTGATGAATGGCAGAAAATGATTGAATTACTCTTCAGAATATTGATGAATCACTCTTTCCTCTAAACAGTTGTCTGGTTGCTAAGTTGACTGTAGAAATGAGTTTATTCTGCAACAATTTAAACCAAAAATGCTTAAAAATGTGACATTTTCGGATGCGAGATGCTTACCTTGCATCTGTCAACAAAGTGACATGCAGGGAGCAGCAGTGAATCCCTGGGTTGTGTAATGTCATTTCTCTTCAACATTTGCAGTGGATGCATTTACTTTCATGATTATTTTGTTGCTTTTGCTTATGTTTGCTCAATGCATTATAATCTGTGACTCCTGTATGTTCTGCCCTTTAGAAAATGTGCCGGTGAGGAACTCGGATGTGGACTACAGACTGCTGGAAGCTGCTAAAGCCGGAGACCTGGACACCGTCAAGGTAGATGAGTTAGGATTTCTTTTATTGTCAACATTTGGCACTTTCCCTACTTTTTGGTGGTATTAAAGGTTTAGATAAAAGACAATTCCTTCCCTCCACACAATCGCCTTACTTAGAAAAGGAACAAAGGAACTGGACCTCAGTAGCTATGAGGTGTTTTTTTTAATTGACCAGCTGTATGATTAAAATAATAAAATGTTTAAACCTTAAACATGCCTGAGCTGTCCCACTGAGTAATACAGACACTTGATGGGTCAGTGAAGAAAAACATAATAAATATATACAATTATTTTCAATAATTACATTAAATCTGTTATAAAGAATTTTCATTCCTGTGTGAAGCAGTGATACACCGCAGAAACCATGAAGGAAAACAAATTAAAAACATGAATTTGTTTTGAGTTAATGACACAGATTATTATCTTTTTTATTTAAAATGTAACAAAATGACCTTTGCGGCTGCTCGTGTTGCTTTTATGGAGTCTGGTCGCAGTGATTTCGTTAAATGTCAGGTGGATATTGTTCTACTTGAATAAAATGTTTTCTGTTCATGTCTTTGTTTTTTTGTCCATATTGATCTCGGTCAAATTGCAAAGCCTTTGTTTTTTTCTAAAGGCCAACCTTCATATAAGATTTCCTAACATGGCTCTCGGTATAATCATAGCCGCTGTTAGCCGCTTTGAATTGCCAGCGGGCCCACTCGTGTTAAAAGTGTGGGCGCTTGTCATGCTCTGTAATATGCTTCGGATAAAACCACCCACCAAATGTCAGGACCCGGTGAGATCCGGCAAAGTATTTGACTGAAGTATTTGGTGAGGAGTGAAAATCGTTGTGTCTTTCCCCCGCCGAGACACACAGTGATGGGGTTCTCCAGATGAAGAGGGCCTGTCAGCGTCTGGAGGGTGAGGCTCTGGCAGGTGGGCAGGGAATCGCAGCAGAGCAGACAATGTGCGCTGGTCTGGCTTTCTGTCAGTGGAAGTACACACACTCGCACACACACAGACTTAGGGTTAACTGTCTGGCTGAGCTTCTGATTGACGGAGGAAGAATAGCACTTTGCACCGTTTCTCGGCTGATTCCTGTCATCTGTTCTAACGTAGCGGAGGTCCAGACTGTGACTGTTGGATACATGTTCACCTTTTAGACCACAGGTCGAAAAGCAGGGGCATATTCTACTGCATTTAAAGCAGTAAATACCGTTTTATAAATGTAAGAATCCTGTTAGAATGACTCCACATTTTACTGTATTCTGAGATAAAAGGAGTAACATTTTGAATAAGCTATAACGCCTCAAAAACGGAGCTAAAATAGAGTGAAAATTATTCTTATTTCTTAGTTGGCCGAAAATGTTATTCGAAACGAATGCCCTCTCTCAGACAACTAAGCCATTAATACGCGTTCTATATATATGCACTTTGCTTAACCTCCTCTAAAGGAAGACACACATAGCCTTCATCATAACTCATTTATGCACAGCATCATTTCAAAAATGAGAAAATTGAATTTATAATGTAATGTTAAGGAAAAGTTGGAGAGTGTTTGTAACAACAGGAAATACATTTCCAGTGTAGAATACTGGTTATAACTCAACCCTGAATGTAACCTGTTCCTCAGTGATATAGCAAAATATCCAGTTGTCCAGTGATTTCCATTTGATCAATATACAGAACTATTGAACAAATCATTCAGCTCTGCTTCGTTATTACCGATGGTGTTGCCACATAAAGAATCCTCTTTCTTCTGTGCATTGGTACATTAGGATTGTGAAAGGGAACACAATCATTTGGACAGAGAAATGTTCATGTAGGCTGAATACAGATTCCCTCTATAATGAATATAACATGTGTGTATATATAAATATCCTAGTAGCAAACATTCAGTTGCTCTAGCATAAACTTGAATTTAATTTGTACCACCCAGGTTCAAACTTAACTGATGACATGATTTTTATTTATTGCAGAATACAAATTTCTCTCAATGTTTTATTGCCTTTTAATAATATTTCCACATTTACAAGCACACACAAAAAACACACAAAACAATGACAACAAAAATGAACATTACATCACTGCTAAATAAGATAATTAACTACCAAAGACATAAACTGTCTTAACTTAAACTTAACGCATAGAAGTACACTACAATAAAAAAGCAAATTTAAGAACTACAAAAGAAAGAAAAAAAATATATAAACTGTATATACCCTCATTGTTCAGCTATTCCTCTTACCATGGCTCAGGCTACAATCTTCAACGTTTTTATCCCGGGAAACATGGCTATCATGAACACAGGCTTAATGGCAGTTGAAGTGAGGGATAATAGAGATTGAGGAATATGTCTGCCAGTAGCAGGGTTTCATATTATTTTCTGTACATTATGTTCCGAGAGCTTGGCTGAAAGAAACTTTAAAACACATTTCCCACTGTGTGCTCTCCTTGTACTGAACTGTGTTATTAGGTCTGAAATAACAGCAAAGAGGAAAGTAGTGCCGTTATTTCCTTTGAACAGCAGGGCAGCAGACATGTATTAACTTCACTTAATAACTTCAATATTGCGGCTGTTGTTTCCTGAAACCTTTCATTTCACGGACATACCGATCATCATAAATACAGGAACAATGTCTTGCTCTCTCAGAAGCACCGTTTGTTTTGTTTAATGTTGGTTTTGGTTCGTCGTTTATGTTTTTCTAGGAAATAATACAAATGATGATGTACACTTTTGAGTCTAGAGACTGATAAATTGTCCTCATCCTCCCAACATGCTCACTATTACTATGAAAGTACAATGTCCATATTAAAGTGTGTAAGCATGCTCATTTGCTAATTGGCCTGAATTGCAAAGCACAGCAGAGGCTAATGGGTCTTTAGTCTAGAGGTTCTGTGCACCTCGCTAAAGTCAGGAGGTTTGGTCCCAGTTAAGCTGAAAAAACGGACTAAATTCAGCCATAACGTGTTTTTTTCAAAGTCAATTTTTATTTGTGTAGCCTAATATCACAAATCATGAATGTGCCTTAATGGCTTTACAATCTGTACAGTGTATGACACCCACTGACCTACCTTTGATATAAAAAGAACATGAGAAAGACTATTGCTGCATATTTCAAGGCCATTTCCTACCAGAAGCTTGATTATTTATCACGACTCATCATTTACCTTCGGTCGGTGTTATTGCACTTTAACATAACATAAAACTGTCCTTGATGAGAAGCTCTTGAACTGATTTTATCTTTAGTTCTAATCTTACTTTGTCCTTTAAAGCTGAATAATAGAAGCAATAATGTTCTACGTGAGTGGTTATGCTGACGGGAGGATCATAGATGTATCCTTGGTTGATCATCTCTCTCATTTAAGAAACAGATATTCATGTTAATCGTCCCTCTTCATCTCTGTCTCTCTCCAGTCGTTGTGCACGGCTCAGAATGTGAACTGCAGAGATCTGGAGGGAAGACACTCCACTCCCCTTCACTTTGCTGCCGGCTACAACCGAGTGTCGGTGGTGGAGTACCTGCTGCAGCACGGGGCAGACGTGCATGCCAAGGACAAAGGGTGAGAATCTTCATGTTATGATTGAATTTTGGCCGAATTAACAGGCAGGTTTTGCATGTATACATGAGTAAATTACTCATTTAAAGGTCACCTATTATACAAAATCCTTCTTTTATACATCAACATGTGTCCCCTCTGTGTAAAGAGATTCTGAAAGTTTCAGGAAAAAAGATTCGCTCTTTTTGTCCTGATCCATTTATATAAAAACCTATCTTTGCCCACTTTATGATATGTTTTTTTGGCTTGTGTAACCATTAGCCAATCACTAACCAAGGTAACCCCCCCCCACCGTATCACCTGAATCTCCTCCTAGAGCTCCATTGAGTTATTTTTAACCAAATCTCTCTCAGAGGGGCGTGGGGAGGGGCTCCTTATTTTCATCTAAAGTAACAGACAGAGAATCAGCCATTTTAAAACAGGGCTGAAACAGAGGGGATTATGGGATGCTACAATGATCTGTTTGGTATTTCGAGCCAAACACTTCAGAGACATGTTTTGTATTTATCTGAGACCTATAATATATTGATGAAAAACAGTATAATAGGAGACCTTTAAATCCTGATAAGTGATGAAAGTTATTCATTTCTCTACAGAGGCCTGGTCCCCCTCCATAACGCCTGTTCATACGGTCACTACGAGGTGGCCGAGCTGCTGGTCAGACACGGAGCCTCGGTCAACGTGGCCGACTTGTGGAAGTTCACGCCGCTCCACGAAGCCGCCGCCAAGGGCAAATACGAGATCTGCAAACTGCTGCTGAAGGTTAGCATGCACTTTCCTTTCCGAAAGCCTTACAAACTCTCAGTGCAACAAATGAATATCAATTAACTGAAGCATAATCAACTATTTTTTGGATACCCAGTGGCAGCCACTTCTATGAAAATCAGACAAGTGATGAATAAAATGTGTGAAATAACAGATTCTAACCAATCAGACTACAAGGCTTGTGAAATGTTGCAGTTTTACAGCTTTTGTTTTCCATCACAAACACCTCCAGACAAAGCAACACCCCCACACTGTTGTTGCCATATGGAGGCGCATCAATTATTATTAGATCAACACACAGCAAACTGGGACGAACATCAACTGCAGGGAAAATGTGCTGCTTCAACATTTGTATGCAATGAATGACTTTACTGTTGCAACACAAAGAGATGAAACTGGGAGCGATCTGTTGGACGCATTAAGGACAATCAAACAAACAGAATGGCCAAAACAATACTACAGAATAGGAGTTGTGTTAAATAGATTTAGAAACTATTGCTCATATGGATATGACATGAGACAGAGAGAGATCAGCAGTGAGGCGGTGCAGCCAGAGATCGGTAAGGTCAGACGGACAAACTAGTAAAAAACGAAAGTGCTGCACCCAACAGTTCACTGCAGCAGCAATCACTAATCGGGGGGGGGGGGATAAGTGCAGTTGAGCAGTGCTGGTGGTGACAAAGTAACAGTGTGGGGATGCAGGGGGGGTGTGGAGTTGCTGGAATGACAGTTATGGTTGAGTGGAGTGGGCCGTGTTAAGGAAGGTGACAGCTCTTTGGGGAGGAAAGTGGTTTTCAAGTGACATGGAAAAAAGACTTAGCAAATAGGTCATGACTTAAAAGCTGAAGCAGAAGAAAAGCAACTGGGATCTGTGTGGAGCGAGGACAAGAAACCCATCAGTGCAGCTCATTGCAATCTTTTCTTCTGAAACCTGAGTGGAAATGACAAAACATTTTAGAAATATCGCAAAAACAATCTTGTTAAAATAATTGATGTAAAAAATGATTAGCAAAATTCAATTTGGTAAAAGAGAAATAAATTAAAGGAGCCCTATTATGCTCATCCCTCTGAAGGGATTTGAGCCTTTGCAGACCATTTACATGCACAAAAACCTATACAGTATAACACACTGCAGGAGAGGGAAAACCCCGAAAAGCATAATGGTGCTGATTTAAGGAAATAAACGTGATGTATACAAAAGCTTTTGCTACCCTGAAGAGACCACATTAGCAGCTAAATCGAAACAGCTTTAGGTCCGTCTGGCGGTTATCTTGTTGTGTCCACTTCTGCTGCGATGGTATAAGGGTTTTCAAACTGAACAATTGTCGCTATCTACTTTAAATCTCGCTTCACCAAGTCCTATTAATACCTTAATAGTAGTTAATAGAAAAACAAGCGCCATTCACCTAATCCTTTGCCAATTTTCGCATCGTTTATTCAAAAGTTGGCCCGACATTTATGTAAAAACATGAAGCATTAATGGCCCGTCCACACAGCGGCGTGCGTTGAAGCTTGCCGGCGGGCATGTCTGAAACTCGACCAACAACCAATCACATTAATCTCCCGCCCCTGACACACAAGCAGCGGTTTGATTGGCTAGAGCTTGTACTGGCATATGATTCGATTGGCTGACGCTTCTGCCGAGGCTTCAAAAGTTGAACATTGCTCAACTTTTGCAGCGAGCCACGCCAGCAAAGCTCCGCGTCGCTTCCCACAATGCAGTTCGGCGAAAAGTGACGTCACCCCATTCAAAGTGAATGGTGAAGCGTCAATGTACGCCGCTGTGTGGACGGGCCGTTAATGCTTCATGTTTTTACATAAATGTTGGGCCAACTTGTATGTAAAAACATGAAGCATTAAGGCTGTTCTAAAGACTTTCTAAGATTTAGGATGGCCTTTTCCTTTCATTAGGGTTAGGGTTATCAACTACACCTACCTGTAGTTTCTAAATTGCGGGAGAAAACTCTCCCCACCACAACGAGATGATTTTGTAGCTAATTCAGCAAATCCTCCAGTAGCACAATCCGCCTCAGCAGCTTCGTTCATGTTCATTTAACAAAATCTCTTATTTATTTATAGCGAGTGATTTTTAGTTCCCGTCTGGTGTGACCTCAGTGTCAGTGTGTGACCCTGGAGTGCTGCTAACTCTCAGTAAGTGCTCTCCAAACAGCCGTTGACTTCAGAGATACAGCAGCTCCCTCAGGCCGCTCTGATCTGAGGTCTGGAGGCAGAGGTTAGAAACACACATGCAGACAATCGATTCTTCAAGGTGGTGGGAAGGTTTGGCATTTTTCCACTCTGCTTGGAAAATCCTAAAGTAAGCTTGAGCTTGGCAGCGCCCTCATTTCCCCTCTAGCACACATACACAGAATCCCGCACATGGGAGTTAATCTGCCCCTGGGATACAACTGTTCTCTCTTTTTGGATAAACTATTCCTGAGTTCAGCAATAGGTTTTCTTTTGTCTGCTCTGTTTGTTGTCAACTTCCTATTGTCCCCTTTCTGTGTAGGATCTGTGCTCGGAATAAAATGAGCTCCAAGTGCTGTGATTTTCAGCGGGGATTTTGTGATGCACAAAACACGTATTAGCATTTCTTTTGTTGGGAGAGAAGTTGAGGAACATAATGCGTTTCTCCTCCAATTAAAGGAGAATCGGCTTTGTTAGCACTTGGCTTGAAACGTGTAAACTCCCATGACTTGTGATCTGGGTGGGATGTGTCATCGTCTTGCAAGAGAGCGACCTTCAGGCAAGCTGTGTGACATTTTCCTTTTTGGCTTTCTTTTTATTATGGATGTCACTGTTCACAATAAACCCCCATCTATGTGTGAGTTTGTGACCATGCTAGCAGTGCGGTCTAGAGAGGGTCCAAACTGAAATATCTGAATAACTATTGGCTGGAATCCAATGGCATTTGGTACAGACACTCATGGTGCCCAGATTGTGAATCCTAATGGCTAAGGTCGTCCCAGATTTAGTCTTTTTTGTTGTTGTACAATATTCTAAAGATAAAGATGGCATTGCTCTCAGACTCAGCTCTATCTTGGGTTTAGCGCTAATTAGCAAATGTTAGTACAGCCTAAACAAGCCACTAGCATTACTGTAGAAATTAAGACTCCAAAAATTATCATCTGTCTATAAGTTACTCACCTTGTGTATTTCTTGAATGCCTCCACATCCTGGAGGCATTCAAGAAATGAACAAAGAATCCAAAAACTGAATTGAAGGAAGTGGATAAATGATTTAAATAGTACATTTAGCAAAAAAGCATATTTTCTTCAATTATCTAGATCACGTAACTTGATATATGATACTTGGATTATAGGGGTTTGGTCTTAACTGGGTAACGGGCGCTGTGCCCTCTTACTTTTGGCGTGCGCCCTCGAACCAAAATGCTGATTTTCCCCATTATATTTTAAAGTGATGCCAGAAAACAATATTTTTGTTCTTCAAAAACGGTATTATAACTCAAAAAATATGAAAATGTAGTCCGTCAGACGGTATAAAGAGCTTTTTTTTATGGACCTCCGACGCCTCGTTGTTTAACGTCCGCGCCGCCATCTTGTATACGGGCGTTCTCACGAGAATTGTAAGATCAGCGCCCTCATACGACATTTTTCTAGAAAAACCCCTGCTGTGTGTAAACTGGATGATTTAAAATGTGTTGCTGTTGTTGGCCATCATTTACTTACTCCTTTTTTGGATTCTTTGTTACCCGTGGATTCATGCAAATTCAAGGCAACAGTGGGTGACTAATGGATATACAAATAATCATTTTTGGGAGATGCATTCCCATCATCTTATTTGTGCGCAAATCAAAAATAATAAATGCATCAGCTTTTCTGAGCAAGATAATTGTTCAAAGAGCTCAAAGGTTGCAAAAGTATTCACTTCTGTAAATGGGAAATCTTTCATGAACTGAATTTAGGCAGAATCCATCGAAAGACTCACAAAAGCGACATGTGTTTATGTTAATTATGTTAATGTACCCAATTATGACTTGAATGGGTCTCCATTATCACTTTCCTGGAGAGCGAATAAATTACAGTGAGAATATGATTACAGCAGCAGCAAAGGGATAATATAAAAAGTAGGGCAGACAAATCAGAGGAGGGATACAGCAGCGACAGATGTTTAACGGACAGTTTCAGGACAGCAGTGGATACCCGGGGGAGTGGTCTCACAACATCAAGTTTTAATGAGGGGTTTTACAAAACTTGAAATGAAATGACAAGTGAAAGTGTCACCTAGGCATTGAACGATGAAAATGTTTTTCTTTCCAGCCCGTCTCCAGGGAGTGTGTTTTCCACTTCGCTGGGTGTCCTGTCCTCACCCCTCTCCCTCCCTCTCTCCCGCGAATTACCTTCATCCTCCCCTCGCTTGTCATCATTTTTGGCTTGTCAAATAGAAGAGTTTCCTCTGGGATTCAAACAGTAAGGGATTTAGGGGACTGATGTTTTTGTTTTGGGGAAGTTGATGACAGCTTATATTCTGTACCAGGAGTGTGGTGGCTAAATGATTTACAATAAGGATATAATTGCGATTAGATTATTGTGCCTTTTGTCCCTTTTTTGGAAAATATATCACACGCATTCTAATGTTCATTATAAACATGAGGTTTTTGTCCATGCTACCATATTGCAACACGCCTATTTTGTACCAACATTAATGTTGCCATGTTGTCTTTGTCATGACAGGAACATTTATGCTTTTTGATTGAAAACACTGTCTGCCATAAATATTTTTAGTGTGCAAGGACTTACGGTTGATAAAACATTAACCTTTTTACCTTTGTAAAAGGATTGTCCTTATCTTTCTTACAGTGCAGACGCTTTTCTGCTTGCTCTTGCCTCTGCTTACTTTTTATGCTGATTTTCCTATTCTTATTCTCTGAAAACTTCGAGCAGCGGCTCCTGGACATTAACTTATCACTGGGACAGTTCATCTTCGTAAATAGACGGAGGGTTTCAGCCATATTTCAACATTTTTACGACGATGTC